TAGCATGCATGAGGCCCTGGGTTCGATTCCTCAGTACTACATAAGCAGAAAAAGCTGGAAGTAGCACTGTGGCTCAGCGGTAGAGTGCTAGCCTTGCATACATGAGGCCCTTGGAAGATTCCTCAGCACCACATAAGCAGAAAAAGCTGGAAGTAGCACTGTGGCTCAGCGGTAGAGTGCTAGCCTTGAGCTGAAGAGCTGAGGGACAGCGCCCAGCCCAGAGTTCAGGCCCCACGACTGGACCTAAAATAAAATAAAATAAAATAAAATAAAAAAAAGAAATAGTATTACATTTATAGGTACTTTAGAATTTGTTTGGTCTAATCTCATTTCACTAAGAAACCCAGGCTCAAAATTAAAAGAATTGCTCAGGAATATAGTGAGTTTCTTCTAGCCTAGTGTACCCAGAACCAAACCTGCAGACTCTTCATGAAGCTTTAATTCTACCACTTCATGTAAATGCTCTTTTAGAGTTTAGAATATTTACTCTTTTAGAATTGCTTTGTAGTGATAGTAGACATAGAAGATAAACCAACGAAGTATACTGGAAGTACAGGTAGTGACTGGTACATGCCTACATACAAGAAGCAGCTATACAAAATTTCCATATAAAACAGAATGGAAAGGCTGCCACTATCAGGCCTTAGCTCAAATCGGCTGGAGTGACCAAAAACTTTTGGTTACCTTTGGGTCATTAGCATGTCATTTTAATCTTGTAATTGCAGATATCCACCTATCCTCTATCCAAAAGCCTTATGGGCTTTTCTTAGGGGTGGTGGGTAATGGCATACACAGAATAATTTGTTATCTAATAAGGGAAATGTCAATTAAAGGAGAAGAAATGTACTAAGAAGCAGAGAAGAGGAGGAAATCCCAAGTTTTCTCTTATACCAATATAAAGGCTGGGCCTCTGAGAAGTTGGGTATTCCTTAACCTGTACTCTCTCACACATGTGTAATGTAATCCTACTTTTCTTAATAAACATTGGCACTGCTTTCACTATTTTTCTTATCTAACTTTCATAACTCTTGCAGAGATACAAGAATTGAGACTCTGATCAAAATTCCAGTAAAAGCATCAAAGGTAATTCTGCATAACAGAATACTTTTCTAAAGTTACTTTAAAAAGATTTCATAGTTAATTTAAAATGCAAACAAGATAGTCATTCATGTGCATGTAAAATTTGTAATTAGAATTATTATCTAAGTCTAAAATCCTGCATCTATCCAAGTTTCAATAATAGCATCTATTCATTTCATAGGTCCTTACAACTTCCTGGATTCTTTTTATACTTAAGCCATTGTATGTTCTTAATTCCCCAAGAGACTATGCAAATACGGACACCACTTTCTAAACAAGGAAAATGGAGGCTCAGAGACTCAATTATTTGCCCAAGGCATTAATGGTTAAGCCTAGAACTAAAGCTCTTATCTTCTGATATTTATTCCAGTATTGTTACTTTATATTGTCTATCATTACTTTCATCAACACTGTACTATATTTACATTAATATACAATTCTTCTAGGAAAGGGTATACACTTACCTCATGCAGAGAGAGCACTCAAAATCTGAGGCATCTATTAATTCTTCAGGGATGTCACTATAAGCTAATGCAAACATACAGACTTCATTGGGAGCTTCTATTCAAATAAACAGAATGAGTTAGCTTTTTTAGGAAAGAGTTTAAAGGCCATTTCAAATAATTAAGTTTAAGTAATGGAAATTTAAGTGAAAATTTTTACCTCCTTGTTTTTTGAGCTTATTTTTTCCATCTTCATTTATTATCACATCCTGTTCTAAGAGAGACAACTTCCTTTTCAGTAGCACACCTTTTTCCTGGGCAGAAAGTAAAGGTTCTGAGGACACCCTTTTTAAACCATCCCCTCTAACAGGCATTTCTGTTAAATTTATAGCCTGTACGGACTGAGTACGATTTAAGCTTCCTTTGACAGTCTCTGAAGGATCCTCTGGTTCTTCATTCTATACAAACACAATGAGAAAATATAATTATTTCTTTACTATCCTTCATTCATGAAAGTACAGCCATGTACACACAGAATGAACTATAATAAATAAAATAATTTACATATTCTAAGAGAATGAAATTTTTATGGCAGCTAAGTGATCTAAAATTGTAATTAATGGGTAATACATACGAAGTTCGTTATAGAAGTGGAAGTATGGCCAAGTAGTAAGGAGCCAGCTATGCAGGAAAGAGCTGAGAGTGTGAGACCCTGAGGCCAAATCCTAGTCAAACCCCCCTCCAACCCAAGAGAGAAAGTTCCACTACAGACAAAATCCTATTAAGACAACTAGACAAGAAGAGCTTAAATAGCTTCTATTGCTTGAAACTAGGAGAATAAACATCTTCATTTATAGAAAAACAAAAGAGCTTACCTGTTTTAAACTAATATCACTAGGAGAGTGAGATGCTTGAATTACTGAAGAAAAATTAGGAGGTCTGTTTTTAATCCATGATAAAGAACTCCAGGAAGATTCTTTCAGGCCTTCTTTTAAGTTTTCAGGTAATAATAAATCACATAAAATCTGTAAGAAATATAAAAATAATAGGACACAAATAATATCAGGTTAAGAATAGTGATATAATTTTACTTAATAATTAAGAATTTTCAGGAAGTCTAAAGCAGGCATTTTTTCATAAACAAGAAATAAACAGGTTAATATAGTATAGTAAAAAGCCTTATACCCATTGAAGTTTGCTTCAACAGAAACCTATCACTTCTAGAAAAAGAGGGATTCCAAACTTTGATAGGAAACATAGAGGGCTTGGAAGGTGGCTCAGTGGTAGAGTGCTTGGCTAGCATGCATGAGGCCCTGGGTTCGATTCCTCAGTACTACATAAGCAGAAAAAGCTGGAAGTAGCACTGTGGCTCAGCGGTAGAGTGCTAGCCTTAAGCTGAAGAGCTGAAGGACAGTACCTAGGCCCTGAGTTCAAGTCCCATGACCGACAAAAAAAAAAAAAAGAATGAAAGGAAGCATAGAGTACCTGAGACCAAGTATACAAAGTAAAAGCTAGTTTTTAACATAGGATTATGAAGAAAGAAAGCTTAAGAGGAGTATTTACTTCTGAATATTAGTAAGCCCTTACTGTCAAAATAATTCATATATTAGTGTATACTTTCAGGTTGGGCTTGGAGTTTGGGAATATTTACATGAAACTTAAGAACTTGGACTTTACAAACTTCTAAAATTCCTTGTATTATATTTACACGAAACTTCTCATTGAACAAGTAACCTGTGTGGGTAGTACCTATTGCCTCGCACCTGGTTTTAAGCAACAAATGGTAGCTACTCTCCAACAAATGGGAGTTAAACTGGGAGCCCTTAAAACGCTGGAGAGTCAAATTTTCTGGGTGTTTACAATAATGAATAAATTTAAAACTCTCATAGTAACAGAAAAGGTTAATGAAAATGAAGGTGAGGCTGGTGTGTGTGTGTGTGTTTTCCTGTACTGGAGCTTAAATTCTGAGCCTAGGCACTGTCTCTGAGCTTCTTTTTGCTCAAGGCTAGCACTCTTATCACCTGAGCCACACTGCCAACTTCTTGGCTTTTATTGGAGGTAAGAGTCTCACAGACTTTTCTGTCTTGGCTGGCTTTGAATTGTGATCCTCAGATCTCAGACTCCTAAGTAGCTAGGATTACAGGTGTGAGCCACAGTGCCTGGCTGATTTTCTTTTTTTCCAAATATACTTTATATATATATATATATATAATATATATATATATATATATAGTAGAGCATCTTTTAAAATTGAAATATGGAGGTTATTTCTCAACTATACTTCTCAAATACACAAAGTTGATCCATCCATTCAGCATATAAAAGTATATTTCCTACTCTTTCCAGATGTTCAGTGAATAAATGTAACTAGAACTACAATGTTATTTTTTCATGATGGCATATGAAAAATTCTAAATAAATCTGATGTAACACAGTATTTCCTCTGAAGTAATTTCATCAGGCAACTCTCCTCTCTTCCTACGCATTCCCTTCATCTCTGCCTTTTTAATTAACAACTACTAGCACCTCACAGAATAAAACTACTGATAGGATATCTAGAGTACTGAGAAAAATAAGGCAACAGAAGCTGAATGGGGTAATAACATTGACTACTATGGAAAGTAAGCAAAATTTAGTCATGAAGTAAAAAGCAAAAAGCAGATCAATAGAGAGCCCAGAGTGTGAACATTGTGACCACCATGTTTAATTAGTGATCATCAGTCTGAGTCTGATTAAATAAACCACATCCCAACATTTTTCTAAATACCTGGAGAAAAAATACTTGGGACCAGAAGTGTTTTGAAAATTTTTGCAGTATATACATACATATAATGAGATAGCATCCAAGTCTAAATAAAAACTCCTTTGTGTTTCACATATACCAGATAGATAGATAGATAGATAGATAGATAGATAGATAGATAGATAGATAGATAGATAGATAGATAGATAGATAGATGCATTCACATGAGTCAGGTATGAAATTTTCCACTTATGGAAAGATGTCACACTCAAATAGTCTTGGATTTTTTGAGCATTTCAGATTTCTGAGATTCAACCTATATCAGGGTTAATCTAAATTAACTAAGCAAAGATAGTGCATTAGTATGTCTGAATGAAATGTTCTGGTTTCATTAAGAATGCAGTAAACACATGAATCAAACTAAAACCTACTTGCTCTTTAATTAAAGCTTATTTACTTCTTACATTCTTATTCCAAGTTTCATTTTTTAAAAAAATGTTGTCTTAGTCCTGCCTTGAACTATTGGTAAACCGATTACCTTTTCCACTTGTAGCTTTGCAGGTGCAAAATCTTCATCAAGGGCTAAGCACTGAAGAAAGAGTTGTAAGGCATCACCTAAAAAGCCAGCATCCTGGAGTATTTTCCCTTTCCTGAAGTAGACCTTCAACAAAAACATATAAAAACCTTTACTTACAGAACTGCTTTTAACGAAAATCACAATCAAGGGAAAGAACAAAGTTTGTTTGGAAACATGGTTCTGAAATTATATGACTTTGAAAAAGCCAAAGTACTAATGCAAAATTGATGCCAGAAGTTGTCAAAAACAGTAATACGTGTTCCCTCAATTTTGAGAAATTATTGATTCAAAGATTATTTATTTACAAAGTGCTATTTGAGGAGAAAGAGGAAATGCTACATAAAATTTCCTTACTTTAAGATGCATTAAGATTTAAAAAAAAACACACTATGTGTGAACAGAAATTCATCTTAGAATCAGGGCAATATGGCAAATGTTCTCCATGATACTAAAAAACATATTTTTGCCTCTAATACTTCTTAAGAAGTATTCAGAGACGTGTCCCTTCTCACAAATCCTATTTTGTGTTTTTCCTCCTTCAAAATTAAGGTCAAATTTTCTGACACAAGTTACCATTGATAAATCAAAAAGTTCCTTTTGCAGGATGGTCTATCCAAAGTGTTAACTGGTAAGCTTTAAAAGTGTCTTGCTTATGTAATTAGAATAAGGTGGTTTTACAAGCCATACAATTATCAGTATTAAATAACATTAAAAAGGGCTTAAGCACTGTGCTAGTCAATTTTAGATATTAAAGTGACTGAAGAAAATCATGTTTCCAATAGAGATACAAGTGGACCCATTGCAAAAATGAGATGTACAAGTCCTTAATGGGAAGGGGAAACAAAGGAGGAGGCTACAATGCTTGATAAGAAATGTACTCATTATCTTGCCCATGTAATTGTACAAAAAAAAGAAAATCATGTTTCCATATTTACTTCAGTCAAGTCCAGAGGGTTCCTTTCTTTTAAGCAGTCTTACAGCTATTCATACAACCAATGCACTTTTATTTATAATATATATTTGCTTTGTATTAACCAATCATAAAAACCCTATGTGTAAGATGACCTCATTTGTCTGTTCATTGTCTAATCACTCCATTGTCATTGAATTCAATTTTCCCAGACTCAAGGACCTAAGCTCTTTCCATTTAACAAAATCTTCAATTTGAGTCTATCCATCCTCATAACAAGCTATATTCTTATTTTTTTAAGTTTTTGCATGTACTTATTTTAATATAACAGGTTAAATGAGGGAGAAGGGGAAAGCAATTGTTGCTCACTAGCTGTACTTCCTTGGAAAAATTGGTGTAACATTGTTTTTCCTAAGCTGGGTGCCAGTGGCTCACACCTGTAATCCTAGCTACTCAGGAGGCTGAGATCTGAGGATCACAGTTCAAAGCCAGCCCAGGCTGGAAAGTCCATGAGACTCTTATTTCCAATAAACCACTAGAAAACCGGAAGTGGCACTGTGACTCAAGCGGTAGAGCGCTCACCTTGAGCTGAAAAGCACAGGGACAGCGCCCAAGCCCAGAGTTCAAGCCCCACGACCGACAAAAAAAAAAAACAAAAAACAAAAAAAACCATTGTTTTTCCTGTTGCATGAATGTTCTTTAGATATGAAACAAAGGTTTTTATATAATTGAATACTTTTTCAGATACTATAATTTACTCCAAATTTTGAACCTAGATTTCTAGATTATTATTATTCGGAGCCAACAACAATTTTGCTAAAATTAATAAGCATAACAGAAGTGCTCCTCGTTGATACTTTAAAATTTATGCAAATGTACAATAGTAATTTTACCTCAGGCCAATTTGGAAGTTGAAAGAGAACCCCATTTAAGTCTTCTATGGCTGCCTTAAACTCCTGGAGGCCAGCATAGGATTCTGCTCTGTAAATTTTTAGAGTCAGGTCATTGGGCTCTGAAATAAATATTTTAGAAGGATACAGTTATTTTAGAAAGATTATATAATCCACAAAATACTATCATATTACTTTAAGAAATGACTTGTGCTTCCAGTCAATAACTACCAAACTAGAGTTTATAAACCAACTGTAGGCACAGCTCATTTTCATGTCATATCATGCTTTGAAGTGTTGTCAAAGCCTAGGAATATTTTAGAGACTACCGATGGCTAGACCCATGGCTCAAGTATGGAATACTTACCTCGTAAGAGCCAAGGTCTTGATGTTAAAAACCCTCAGTATACTGCCAAACAGCAGCAAATACTGAAAAATACATGTGTAACTACTTCTAAGAAAGTATTTTTTTACAGAAAGAGTAGATATAACTTTTTTGATTATATGTCTTACATGTTTAGAAGAGCTGCTTTTTATACCTTAATGTCTAAATCTTCCTTTACAAAAATGAGCCCTACTGTGAATACAGTCCCACAGTCACAGGGTCTGATGATCCTTCAGGAAAAGGGTTGATCAGAATCAGCTTTTTTTGGGGGGAGGGAGGAGGTACCAGTACTGGGACTTGAACTCAGGACACTATCCCTTGGCTTTTCACTCCAGGCTGGCACTCTACCACTTGAGCCACTTCCAGCTTTTTAGTGGTTAATTGGAAGGGTCTCAGGCTTTCTGACCTAGATGGCTTCAAAGTGCAATCCTCAGCTCTCAGTCTCTTGAGTAGTGAGGATTACAGGTATGGGTCACTGGTACCTAACTGAGAATCAGCTTCAAGAGATCAAATTTTTAATGTTTGTCCCTTAAATGTCTTGGAAAAAATGCTTTATTATTTATTTCGCCATCCTCTACACCTGTACTTGAGAAACCAAATTACTGTTCAATGGCATGAGGAATTTAATATACTTAGTCTACTGATCTTTAGTCATCAGTTACCACAAGGATGCAAATCTTTTTTTGGGGGGGGATTGGGGGGTCCGGTCATGGGGCCTAAACTCTGGGCCTGGGCGCTGTCCCTCAGCTATTCAGCTCAAGGCAAGCGCTCTACCACTGAGCCACCTTCCCAGCCCAAAGGATGCAAATCTTTAACTGAAGCCTGAAAAATTTTAAAGAATAATGTTAATACTTCCCAAGAATATTCTTTATACAAAGGCATGCCTAGAATATTGCCTTTTGTTTCATAAAGCAATAATTAAATCCTCATCTCTGACAAAAATGTACAGAAATTAAAATTTCAAACTTCAATGACTTTTAAGAATTTAAGACTTACTTAAGTTTATAGAATAAATTTTGAACCTGTAAGTTTTCAAAACTATCACATTTTACTAAAAAACTAGAAACTTCTATGTGACCAAAACACCCCATCACTTACAACTGGCAATCAGAAAACAGAATGCCAAGACAGTCTAAGAATGGGCAGTAAAAACTCCAGCATCAAAAACTCCTGGCTCACAGGCCCAAAGAAACATAGGTCCCATGGTTTCCCTTATTTGCAGTATCTAGTTCCTCCAAGGAATATATTATGGAAACAAGCAGCATATTTTATTTGAACCCCTTACTGGGCTTCTTTAGTTTACATTTCATTTGTTTTTATTGTGAAGGTGATATACAGAGGGGTTATAAGCCAGGTAATGGGTACATTTCCTTTTGATCAATGTCACCTCTTCCCTCCTTTTAGTTCAGATTTCTTTTCCATCAAGTTTTCTCTACCCTTGTCTCAATGCAAGTTAAAATTTACCCTTCAGCCCGGCGCTGCTGGTTCAAGCCTATAATCCTAGCTACTCAGGAGGCTGAGATATGAGGATCACAGTTCAAAGACAGCCTGGTCAGGAAAGTCCATGTGACTCTTATCTCCAATAAACCACCACAAAACAGGAAGTGGTGCTGTGGCTCAAGTGGTAGAGTGCTAGCCTTGATCTGAAGAGCTGAAGAGCACCCAGACCCAGAATTCAAACCCCACAACCAACCAAAAAAAAAAAAATTACCCTCCTGACTGCCTTTCCTACTTAATCTTTTTGGAGGGGTCCAGTCATGGGGCCTGAACTCTTGGCCTGGGCGCTGTCCCTCATCTCTTCATCTCAAGACTAGCGCTCTACCACTTGAGCCACAGCACCACTTCCAGCTTTTTTTCTTTTTGCTTATGTGGTGCTGAGGAATTGAACCCAGGGCTTCAGGCATGCAAGGCAAGCGCTCTACCACTGAGCCACCTTCCCAGCCCCCTTTCCTACTTAATCTTTACACAGGTTCTTTAGAGCAGTATTGAAGATGACCTGGGAGTTATCTTTGAAAAACATCTGATAAACTATGAAATAGATGCTAATTATCCTGATTCAATCATTACAAATGTATACATGTATCACAGTTTCAGTGTTACCCTAAAATATGTATAACTATGTGTCAATCAAAAAAATGTTCTTTTCCACTCTGACCAAAGTGTTTCCTCTTTACACAGACCATTCAAACTACTGAAACACTCCCAAAGAGCATCCTAAAAGTCTGTGCATTACTGAAGAAAGGAAAGAGGTTTCTCTAAGAAGAAAGAAACAGAGAACCAGATTTCTTGCTCAACTCTTCATAGGTATGCTTGTTGAAAATTTCAAATGTAAATGGAATAATTACTCTGAGCAATTCTACTAGGGAAAAAAAGTTCACACTTCATCACTTTTTGAAAAGATTAGGCCTATCCAATTTATTTACTTTGAATCCTTATTCTAAAAAAGTGCTAATACATCAATTGAGGTGTTTTGAATAATCATAATAGTTGCCCTTCCTGTGAACTTTCAAGAAAGTAAACTAAAACCAGCAATCCACATTGGCAGCATCATTAGCTCAAGTATGAATGAGCAAACATTCACTATCTGTTCTTGAGGACACTGGAGTGAACAAATCATTTCACACCCCAACACAACAGGTTCACTGTTCACTACGATAGGTACCTACAGTGCCTAGCAAGTGCCTGGTACCTCACACACTTGGAATTTGCTGACAAATACAAAGATGGCATAGTTGTGTCAACTGTATAGAGGAAAACAATTTAACTTTATAGTCTCATTCCAAATCATTATCTGTAGTCTTGTTTCCTTTCTACCAGGACCAATGATAGGTCTAGTTTCCTGTCAGGATGGAAAACCCAATCTTTATTTCAGTCTTTTTAAAAATTATCTTTAACGTACAGAGGTTTCAACTGAGCATGTTGATTCATGCATGCAGTGCACCTATGTACAGTCACCCTTTCCATCATTTTCTCCTTTTTATCTTGTCTTAATTTCTCAGAGTCCTCAAATTTCCAACTGCCTGCTTATACTTTCCTAAATTCAGCATGTTTTCCATCCCTCCCTTCCCCCATAAACACAAAAGTATTCCACTATATTCTCTATTCGACACAGCTGACTTCCCAAATAATTAACTTTGTGTTTCACCTACTATGGTATTTTTCAAATTGACTTCATCTTTCTAACCAACTCCCAGAATCTCTTTGGTGTACTACAATAGCTTGCTTTCTCCTGCCTCCAGTCTACTTACGTGGTCACCATCCACCAGAAAGATATCTGAAGAACAGAAAGTTCCTTCATGTCTGGTTCCTGTCTCTCTCTGTAGTCTTACTTCCTTATCATTATGAACCTCCCACTTCAAGTCTCACTAACACTGATACCATGTCTCCTTCCTTGCTCACAGCCCTCATGGTTCCTTGCCCAGTGCATGGGCTCTTCTATCCAACAAGATTCAGCTCACCCATCTCCCCAAAATACTTTCCTTTGCCTCCCTCTTGACACATCTTAAGGGTGGATTGCCTGAGCCTTAAAAATCAAACTACCTGGTTTCAATTTCTAGGTTCTCCACTAACTGAAGGTGAGAAAGACAATAAATCATCTAGGCATTTCCTTATTTATAAAAGGGGGGGAGTTCTTAGCAAATTTAAGAAATATCAAGATACTGTTCTAAATGATTTACAGCCTTCCTATGTACAACCAGCATCGTTCACATTTTCATGGATAAGGAAATTGAGCACTGACAGTCCAAGCAACTTGCTCAGGATTAGCTAGTTAAGTGGTAGATTCAAAATTCAAGGTGAATTCAAAATTCAAGCTTCAGCATTTTTTTTGGGGGGGAGTCCGATTGTGGGCCTGAATTCTGGATCTGAGCACTGTCCCTCAGCCTTTCAGCTCAAGGCTAGCGCTCTACTACTTGAATCACAGCGCCACTTCTGGCTTTTTTTTTTTTGCTTATGTGGTGCTGAGGAATCGAACCCAGGGCCTCAGGCATGCAAGGCAAGCGCTCTACCACTGAGCCACTTTCCCAGCCCAAACTTCAGCATTTTTATGTTTACCTCTACACTGTGCTCATACTTGTCTATCCCACAAGGTTGTTCAAGAAACTAAATTCATGAGTACTCAGTACTCAGAACAGGCTTGTATAGAGAAGGCAATGCCTGCTTAAATTGTGACTATTTCTTCACAGTAGACACTGAGCATTTCAGAGTAGTTTTTTAAATCTTCTATTCTTATGCTTGTGCCTTCAGATACTGGCTCTAAAAATGTTCTCTGAAGCATGGAAAACATTAAAATCTGAACTCTATAAGCTCATCATTCATGCTTCCATTACATCTTCTCTTAGGCCAGTTCTATTCTCTAACTCATTGGGCAAGAAAAGAAAGTAGTCTTGATGTGCAGGGGATTTCATGGGCTGGAACTAGATTTCTAGTGATGGTTTTCCATCTTTGGGCCAGTCAATTTAGAAGACCATGTCTTGAGTAATATGAGTCTTAAAAGTTGATACTTTAGCTCATCTTTAAGAAATTGTGTCAAGACTGCAAAATTCTAAAATATTTACTCATAAAAGTGAAACCAGGGGCTAGGAAGGTGGCTCAGTGGTAGAGCGCTTGCCTTGCATGCCTGAGGCCCTGGGTTCGATTCCCCAGCACCACATAAGCAAAAAGAAAAAAGCCGGAAGTGGTGCTGTGGCTCAAGTGGTAGAGCGCTAGCCTTGAGCTGAAGAGCTAAGGGACAGCGCCCAGGCCCAGAGTTCAGGCCTTAAAAAAATAAATAAAAAAGTGAAACCAGGTATAATGGCACATACCTACAATCCCCATAGGAGGCTAAAGAGAATCATAAGTAAGTCAGCCTAGGCTACATAGTTTCTGGGGAAAAAAATGCACTTTTTACACACACACACACACACACACAAACACCAGTGTTGTTACTGTGAAAAAAAATTAAAGATTCAATTGGCTTTTATTTGCAATTCTTGGCAAGCAACATGTAATTCTACAAAAGGCATTAAGTGTTCTGAAGAACTAAGCAGTTTGGCTTCACAGATTTAAAAAAATGGCAGAGGAAAGATAGGGGATGAAAAGCACACTGTTACATATTACTTTCCTGACAGAGTTAAAACAGGGTATTTGTTTAGGATGCTGAGTCAGATTGACAAGAATCATTTTTGGAAAGCTAACCACTTAATCCAATGTTATTATTTGGTACTTAGCACAAGTTACTCTATTCTGAGTTGGTTTGGTTGCCAGGGCACACAGTTCAGGAAGTTAGTCCAAACCAATGGCCTTTCATAAAATCCATTTAGCAGTATACAACCTGTACCCTTTTTTTCAGGGATGTATAGATTACATTGTATATACAACTTGTACCCTTTTTTTCAGGGATGTATAGAGTACATTATGAGAAATTTTATAAAATATAGCTATATCTACTACTTATAACTTGTTTTATTCTCCAAGTAATTAAAAATTAAATTCATGTGATTTGTGTGTGTGGTTCAGTCCTTGAGCATTTTCACTCAAGACTATCACTTGAGCCACAGCTTCACTTCTAATGGACCTTCCTACCCTGGCTGGCTTCAAATCTTGATCCTCAGATATCAGCTTCCAGAGTAGGTAGGATTACATGCATGAGCCACCAGTGCCTAAGTTCACATGACTTTTAAAGGCTACAGAATATTTTCCTGTATGCATAAGCTACTTAAAAAGACCTTATTCTGCAATTCTAATTTCTGTTAAAAAGAATAATATTTATCCATATATCTTTTTACCTATTTTCTGTAGAACTTAAAAATGAAGTTATATAGTTTTCAATATATTTTGTTTTTTCCTTTTATAAAAACTTGATAGTACACTTCAACTATTTTTCTGTTTAGTAGAAAAAAAATTAAAAACTATCTTAACATGCATTTCTTTCAACATTATACAATCATGGAAAAAAATCTAGATAGTAGTGCATTGCACGATGTCATTGAGAAACCATGTCTGATGCTAATCCCAACATACTATAATACAGCCATGTCTTGTAGGCTATACCACAGTAGTGAAAGTCTTTTGATGTTTTGAAGAATGCATCCCTATCGATGACATGACTATTAGGATTTAGATTGTGTATACACATAAAATACCTATGAATACTGTTTATCTTCTGAGTGTGCTTGTAACTTATAAATCAAAATAGCAAAATTCTGCATAGCCAACCACAGTATCATTGCTTGGCTCCTCTCACTTTAGTTCAGTACAGAACTTGGATCATCAGTTAAGGTGAAAGATGTTTATTTCATGTTATTGATACTATTAATGATTCATTAATAATGTAAAAGAATGATAGTTTGGCATAGTGATGAAGATTTGAAACTCTGAGTTAAAATATTTGGGTTCAGAACACACACATCCTGCTTGGAGCAGTTTATTTAACTCTGCAACTCAGTCTCTTCATCTATAAAATATATCTTACAGCTATGGGAACAAAAGAGTAAACACACATCCTGGCACATAAAGGCCCAGTCAGTAAGAGCAGCTGTTTATAACAACATAGCAGTGTGCAAGGCAGAGCATGGACTACTCCATCATTTACCTGCATAAATTTTGACCTAGATGAGGAATATTTTTTAGGATTAGTAGAAACCGAAAAACATACCACACACTACAAGGATTCAAAGGGAAAGCAAAAGCAAAAAAAAAAAAAAAAGAGCCAAAAACTGAATAGAAGCTTTTGTCTTACATTTTGGAGTTCTCTGAGCTCATTCATCTTTTATAATAAAATATAACTCTAATTTTGAAAAATAGACAAATTTATCTAATTACCTAAATTTTTACTTGAATATTTCTCAATAAACAAAAGATTAATATACAAATAACCAAACTCTAAGTTTTGGTGTATTTGGCATTATCTGATGGAAAAAAAATGCTGGAACTTATTTAAAACCCGACACTTCATAAGACCAGTTATATGGCCCAGTGTTTTCCATACATCAGTAAGCATGTGCTACTAAAGCTAGTCTTTTTAGTAAACTTGAAGCACTGCAAGGATCATTTAAGTGCCTTATAAGTTAAGGAAATGAATCAGTAATATGCTACATATACTCAGTTAAAAGTTAATTAATCTTTGGAGATTTTAAAGTATCAAATTGTTATAAAAGAAAATAAAAAAAACTGTCAAGAGATCTTATTTTGCTCACTTCTGTAGTTCTAGAACTTGCCCTGGCTGTTATATAGGTATTCATGTATTTGTTAACTATATAGTAAAAATGTGTGATATTTTAAAAAAATCTATCCCAGAAGTGATAACCACATACCTATTTTCTTTTAGCTTTAACTTGATTATTTAGAAAGTCAACCATTTCTCAATCTGTGAATTAGGAATACTGATTCTTGCCTTTCTGTTCCACACAAACTTTTGTAAGGATCAATTAGGATGATAGAAGTGAAAACATTTTGTCAACTACAATGCATCAATGGCCAATGTTTGAAGTCCTTTGCACAGTATGGACATAGATCGGTTATTAATTAAATCCAAATGTCATCTTAACCTAGTTCAGTTGCTAAAGATATTAAAACCCATCATATTCTCCTTAAAGGTATTCAATATTCCATTTACCTATGGTTCCTATGATTGTCCTTAAAAAAAAATTTTTTTTTAATTACTGAGGTTTGAATTCAGGGCCTTGCACTTGCTAAGCACTCTACCAACTGAGCCAAGCTCCCAGACGGTTATTGCTTTATTTTGGGGAGCCTGGTCTGATTTAACCCTCCTAACCAGTGCCTCACCCACAGCTGAGATCACAGACACACATATCTGATTACTGATTGAGATGAGGTCTCTTTGCTAGGCTGACGTCAAACTAAGACCCTCTTATTCTCCCAGCAAGTGGCCAGCAAGTATCTGGGATTACACATGTGGACGATTGTGTTACACCTTCGTCTTTGTGTAACTGTAACTGCAGTACTTACACTTTATTAACCTAAGCCAACATGTTACCACTAACATGTGTGAACTAGAATGAAGATGTAACCTTTAGAGAAATCTTCAGTAGAAATAGAGGACTTAAATCATAAGGTTAGAGGACAATTTCAGCTAAGTCATTTTCAAGGTAGACCACATTTTAAAATATTTTAGTATTTTCTGGGAACTTATTCTGAAGGAGGCGCCTTTAGAATCGCTTTACTTTTCTGCCTCATTACAAGCAACATAAAAGCAGAGGCTATGCTCACTTTTCCGATAAGGAATCCACCACACAGCAGTTAGGTAACATGCCCAAGGTCAAAGATAGTGGAGGACTATACTGGGATTCATACCCAGATTCTGCTCGAGGTTCGCAGAGCTTTCACTGCACTCAGCATCTGTATCTCTAGTTGCCTCAGTTTCCTTCAACTTAACAGTACCCAGCAGGATTCTCTGAGGGGATGAAATGACTCAAAAGAATGCAAAAGCACTGGGGAACAGTTGATTACTAATGTTGAAGACAAAAACAGTCTCTCTAGGACATTCTTTTCCAAACAATTCTAACTGTAAATTATACTGTTCCGTTGTGTTCTTTGGCAGAATAAGGTGAATATGCAAGGTAAGCAGTGTAAAACTTCATTAAGAACAAAAAGCCAGCATTACATAGTGGGATTATTTCAACAGACTACAGGATAAAGATTCAATGCAGAAAAAACTTTTACATAATATCCTTGGATACCAAAAAGTATTTCATAACTTTATGAAACATCTGAGAGTTAATGCCAAAGGATCAATGGATTAAATGTTATCTAAATATATTTTAATGCAACAGAAACTTACGTAATCCAATGGGAAACTCCTCATTTTGGCAAAGGTTTTCTAGCTTTCCTTTTCTATTAGCAGGGATAAGTTTGGATCTATGTGGGCTAACTGTAGACCAGATTTTTTTCTATTTAATAGTATTGGTTTTTTTCTTCCCCACAAGAAATGTAGGAAGAAATTAACAGTGAGATCTTTTCATTATCAATGACATCTTCAATAACTACAATTGTACAATTATATAAACACATTTCAAATGTCTACTGCAAACGGGCTAATAATTGTACAAATAAATTTATGACTCTTTTGCCAATAACTGTAGGGTTGGTTTGTTTCTGCAGCACAGACAATCGAACCCACGGCTTTGTGTATGTATGCTAGGCAAGTGCTCCATCATTTAGCATTACCCCCATCCCTAGTTATGCCCATAAATTATGAAACACAAAATCTGCCCTTTACCAGCACTGTTCAGTGCTAAGATATTTTTACTTCAAAAGAAGAATGCAAAGGTAAAAAATAGTTACCCTCAGTAGTGCTATCTATACTTGGAGACCTATTCCAAGTATGGATTTTTTTTTTTTTTTTGTCAGTCACAGGGCTTGAACTCTGGGCCTGAATGCTGTCCCTCAGCTCTTCAGCTCAAGGCAAGTGCTCTACCACTTGAGCCACAGTGCCACTTCCGGTTTTCTGAGTGGTTTATTGGAGATGAATCTCATAGACTTTCCTGCCTGAGCTGGCTTTGAACCTCAATCCTCAGATCTCAGCCTCCTGAGTATTTAGGATTACAGGCATGAGCCACCTGTGCCAAGCTTGGAATTTGGGGGGGGGGGGATCGGTTGTGGGGCTTGAACTCTGGGCCTGGGCTGTCCCTCAGCTCTTCAGCTCAAGGCTAGCGCTCTACCACTTGAGCCACAGTGCCATTTCCGGCTTTTTCTGCATATGTGGTGCTGAGGAATTGAACCCAGGGCCTCATGCATGCAAGGCAAGCTCTCTACCACTGAGCCACCTTCCCAGCCCCCTGGAATTCATTTTTAAAAGAATTACAAATCAGGAAAAATAAGGCAACAAAGTTAAAAGACTTGACTTCTAGTTCTGCAAGAGCAGGATTAAGTAGGTTAGTGGGCAGAATCTCCATGTGTAATCTATGCAAATAGAACAGAATAGAGTTAATCTGTCACAGACTTTGTTAATTAAAACCCTCCTACAATCTTAAAATATTTTAATTGAATATTATTAGGCCTTAACTACTCAAATGTGCTTGCTCACTGCTCTCCCATGGCCTAGGACCCAAATTATTGTGAATCATCTAATATAAGATCGAATAACTGCATAGTAAAAGTAACTGCCAAATAGAGTAAGTTTTTATTCTGTCATTAAGTTTTATTTTGTTATAAGCTACGAAGGCAGGATGAACAGTAGACAATGGATCAACATACAGAAGGAAACACAGTTGTCTGTAAAAGGTGACAGCTAAGTGACTGTGAAGAAGTCACTGCTGTCTAGCTCCAGTTTCCTCACTAGGAGGAGACATGGCAGTCACAGGGTGGTTGGTACAGACAAGTCCATCTTCTTCACTTTTAGAGAGCTAGAGTTATCTGTACCACAGCTCTAGAGTCCCAACTAGTTTTCCTTCCGAGTTCATTTTTATCATTATTTCTCAAAAAGTATTAAATTGAAAATATACCAGATTTCTGCTTGGAACTTATTATTAAATGAATGTGAGTGAAAGACCCACAAGATGACACTATGAATTTCAGTAGCTGACAAACGTATTACCTAAACTTAGTATACAGTTTAGGCGTTCTTCTGCAGTAGTCTCACAAGAACTATTTCACAGCAAAAACACAACAACTTTAAATACCCTTAACACAAGGCTTATTAATAAAATGTTAAGGGTTATCAACAATAACGCTATGGACATTTGGGGCCTGATAATTCTGATAAGCAACTGACTTGTCCCGTGCATTGTGGAATGCTTAGCAGCATCCCCAATAGAGCCACTACATGTCTGGACCTTAGCACAGCCCCCACGAAGTGGGGCAACCAAAAAGCCTCAAAAAGTTGCACTAGATAAGGTCCTGGGGGCGGGGGTGGTGGTGGCAAAAGTCCCCTGATTTAAAGCACAACTCTTTATTTGCCCAAGTTTGACATCACCTTTCTTTGACAACCCCATCCAACTTATGAAAATTGTTAACCTGGGGATACAGCAGGCCAAAGCTGCCTCTTCTAGAAGAGGAAGAAACAGAAGAAAGACCTACAAAAGCTTAAGACTTGATGATCGGGCCGGGCGCTGGTGGCTCACGCCTGTAATCCTAGCTACTCAGGAGGCTGAGATCTGAGGATCGCGGTTCAAAGCCAGCCCGGGCGGGAGAGACCATGAGACTCCTATCTCCAATAAACCACTAGAAAACCGGAAGCGACGCTGTAGCTCAAGTGGTAGAGCGCTTGCCTTGAGCTGAAGAGCTGAGGAACAGCGCCCAGGCCCAGAGTTCAAGCCCCACGACCGACAAAAATATGTGAATGACATTCCTGTAGAAGTTTAGAGATATTTTCTTTAATAAAGAAGAAAACTTAAGCTTGGCACCAGTGGCTCCTGCCTATAATCTTAGCCACTCAAGAGGTGAGATCTGAAGCCTTGGTTTGAAACCAGCCCAGAGAAGGAAAACCTCCTAATATTCTTATCTCCAATAAACTATAGTTTATATAGAAAGGGACTGGGAAGATGGCTCAGTGGTAGAGCGCTTGCCTTACATGCATGAGGCCCTGGGTTCGATTCCTCAGCACCACATAAGCAGGAAAAAAATGCTGCTGGTAAGACTTGATGATCATAAATCCTTAGGCACAACAACAGCATAGCAAACACTCTGGACCAGATACCAACCACCTTTACATCCCGACAAACCTACGGTGCATTCAAAAGTGAGCTCCTAAGTCTTGTATAAAGTTATTGTTCCAAACTGGCAGGCTGAAACTTCTGAAAAGGAACCAAGACTGAAGTCATCTACCAGGTAGCAGCTGCCCCCCACCCTCCGGCCAGTTCCCACACCTCCGGGAAGCAGGGTGGCCGACGGGGCCTCCCTCCGGTGCCGGGTGCCCGCGCCGATCTCCCGCCACGCCCACCGGACGTCACCCGTTACACAACGCCCCCCCACCCCAGCTTATGCAATTCTGCCCTCCCGCGGCTTCCAATTGCCCGGGTGACTTTCGGGCGAGATGAAGGTAGACGCGGTCCGCCCCAGTGGGTTGGGGGGAGTCTTCCCCTGCCCGGGCTGTGGTCCTCCGCGGCGAACCCGGCCGAATCGGAGAGGGGGGGTGGGGGGAGGTCAGTTACAGAACGCGCGCGGACTGACCCGCTCCCCACCCGTCCCGCGCCCGCCGGCCTCGCACCGGGTCACTCGCTGCGCGCCCAGTGCGCGCGCACGCGCCCGTCAACCGCGGCCGAGGGAACCCCGAGTCCGTGCGCCCCTCCCCGCGCCGCGTCACAGCCCGCTCCTGGGGCGATCCCCATTGTGACCGCAGAACCCCACGGCGCCGCCCCTTCCCGCATCTCCCCCCCCATTCTCACCCCACCCCGCACACCGCATCCCCAAGAACCCGATCTCACGGAGGTCCCCGACACCCGCGTGGCCCCGGGGAAGCCGAGCGGCGCCGGGCGACCGGGCCGTCGGGG